TTCTTTATGTTTCTTTTTAGGTTTCCATTAAGAATTGTCTGAATTCTGACATTTGGATTGTTTGATTATTCCATATGGAATTGTGTGTTAGGGTAAGACTTTGTAACTTAAGCACACAAAGAACCTTAGATTGCCACACTGACAGGTTCAAGATGAAGAGTAAAGTTTCAGAAAATATTGATTTGGTTTCTACTTCTTTGAATCTTTACATCTACTCCTACAATCCCCATTATTAATTAACTTCAGAAGTGGTTTTGCCTACGAACCTGACAATGATCTCTCTGGTTATACATTTTCTAATTAGAAATATACATATGGACATACATTCTATGTATAATAATACATATATAGTATGTGTATCTATATTCTTATATATAATAGACTATAATTATATAGTCTATATGTGTATAGATTTATATATACATCAACCAATTATGTACAGATAGAACATCGTTACTAAGATGTTAACTCTCCTTTTTCCTTCCTTCCTTCGTCCTTCCCTTCCACTTTTAAAAAAAATATTCTTGGTCAGGCACAGTGGCTCACGCCTGTAATCCCAGCACTTTGAGAAGTCGAGGCAGGCGGATCATGAGGTCAGGAGTTTGAGATCATCCTGGCTAACACAGTAAAACACTGTCTCTACTAAAAATACAAAAACTTAGCTGGGCGTGGCAGTGGGCGCCTGTAGTCCCAGCTACTAGGGAGGCTGAGGCAGGAGAATGGTGGGAACCCGGGAGGCGGAGCTTGCAGTGAGCCAAGATCATGCCACTGCACTCCAGCCTGGGTGACAGAGCAAGACTCTGTCTCAAAACAAAAAAAAATTCTTTCATATCAGTAAGGGCAAAGGTATATTATTTCTGATGTCACAGTTGCTTTAGATAATTCTAAACAGCTGATACAGATACCTTCTTTACCATGACATGGAACGAAGAATGGGAATGGATAATTGACAAGATTACAAATTCTCTGATTTTTTTAAATCAAAAAATGTAATAGCAATAGCTATTCTGAATTGCAGCAGATAAGAGATCCTGCTGGTTACAATGGAGGATTAGTGTCACCATTCTGACTTTCTGGAGAGGTCCTGTCTCCTCAGGTATGTCCTGTCTGCCTGAGTCATCATGGGACAGAGAACGTCCTTGGGTTCTAGGGATCCTCTAGATCAAGGACTCTTAATCTGGTGCATCAGAAAGACCTTGAACTCCATAAAGTTAATGCAAATATTATAGCCACTTTTTTGTGGTAAAATACTTATAACTTCAGATCTACCCTCTTAACAAAATTTTAACTATAAGCATAATGTACAGCAGATATTTAGAACTTTTTCATCTTGTACGACTGAAACTTTATACCCATTGAACAGCAACTCCCTACTTCCACCTTCCTCCAGCTTTTGCAACCACCATTCTACTTTTTGTTTCTATGAGTCTGACTACTTTAAAAACCTCATATAAATGAAATCACGCAGTACTGTCCTTCTGTGACTGGCTGATTTCACGTAGCATGATGTCCACTTTTGTGGAAAACAATATGAAGATTCTTCAAAAAATTAAAAAATAGAACTACCACCCAGCATTCCCATTTCTGGGTGTTTATCCAAAAGAACTGAAATCAGGATTTGGAAGAGATATTTGAACTCCCATGTTCATTGCAGCATTACTTACAATAGCCAAAAGGTGGAAACCACCTTAATGTTTATTGATTGATGACTGAATAAAGAAAATTTGGTACATGCATACAATGGAATATTATTCATCCATACAAAGAAGGAAATCCTGTCACATACTATCACATGAATTATAGCCATGCCTGAAGGGAAAACTTTTGGGAAAACTTAGCTTTCTATCACGTTCTGGAAGGAATCTGCCATACAAACAAGGTTAAACATCACTGCATTAAGGCATGCCTAACACACTGAACAAACTGAAAGAAGTTAAACTTGACTGACTTTGTCATTCCATGTTTGGGCCTGCTCCAGATAATTAATGTGCTCGTGACACTCTCCCTGCCCAGCTTTTAAAAGGTCTTTTTCTGTAGGTGCTTACTCCAGTCTGGTCTTGCTAGGTAGAGTTCCAGTAGGGACACTAACATCCTATCTCTTTTTTTTTTGAGACTGAGTCTTGCTCTGTCGCCCAGGCTGGAGTGCAGTGGCATGATCTTGGCTCACTGCAAACTCCGCCTCCCGGGTTCAAGCGATTCTTCTGCCTCAGCCTCCCTAGTAGCTGGGACTACAGGCACCCGCCACCACGCCGAGATAATTTTATATTTTTTTAGTAGAGACAGGGTTTCACCATACGGGCCAGGCTGGTCTCGAACTTCTGACCTTGCAATCCCCCTGCCTTGGCCTCTCAAAGGGCTGGGATTACAGGCATGAGCCACTGCACCCGCCTACTAGCATCCTATCTTATGGAAACATACTTATTCTATTTTCTCAGAGCACTGCTCTTTGCTAGGGAGTAAATAAACTGAGCTGACGTGTCATGGTTTGCCTTTCTCAGATGTGAGTCTTTCTTCAGGGAATTTCAATGGTCTGAACAGATAAAAGCAAACAGTAGAGATTTGGGGCTCAAGAGCAAGTTAGAGTGGTAGATAAGATTATAACAGTGATGTTCTTCTCAACTCTTCTAAAGAAGTCATTGAACATGTGCCTTCTCTATACGCAAGACTGATCTACCTACTTAAAAAAGAAGAAAACAAATCCGTTGGACAATGCCACATAAGATTATTTTTTGCATCATTAAGAAAGTCTTCTTAAAATTAATGTTTTTTTTTGTTTTGGTAGGAAATGTAGCCATTAAGATAATTGCCTTTCTTAGTACCAAAGTCTCAATCGTTAAAGGTTAAGGGTTCTGTTGGTTTTTCTTCTCTATAAGATCTTGTGGTGGATTTCTGTTACATATGACTGAAGAATAAATAAGAAATCTTGGATGAAAGTTTAATTTTTTTTCAAAACAGGACACTTCTCATGGTCCTAACTATTTTTGAAGCCATTCTCTGTTAACATTATGACAAGGATTTGGTAGTGGGAAAAGATGTTCCAAATTTATTTGACACATAGCTCCCATCTGGCTTTTAGTACGTTTTATTTTATTTATTTATTTTTTTAAAGGTGTCTTGGTCCATTGTGCTGCTATAACAGACTACCTGAGACTTGGTAATTTAAAATGAACAGATATTTATCGGCTCAGAGTTCTGGAGGCTGGGAAGTACAATATAAGTACAATATCAAGATGCTGGCTATTTGCAAGGGTCTTTTTGCTACATCATCACATGGCAGAAGGTGAGAGGATAAGAGAGAGCAACAGGGGGCTGAACTTGCCCTTTTATAATGGCACCAATTCCACCCATGAGGGTGGAACTCTCCTGGCCTAATCACCTTTGAATGGTCCCACATCTTTAAAACTGTGATAATAGCAATTAAATTTCAACATTAGTTTTGGAGAGGCAAACATTGAAACTACAGTGGAAAGGAGACCTTACCGTTTTATATAATCCTTAGTAAAACTTGTGTAATTCATGGAATGGAGACTGCTAATATATGGTTAGATTGGGAAATTAGATATTTCCTATAGATTTTAATATTGGATAAACTTAAGAATATTCTGTATAGAATACTTTCTCCTTGTAATCTAAATCAGTTTTCTGATTTAGAAACTAAGGGAAGCCTGTAGTCATTGGCTTAAAAATGGATTACAAATGAATTTGTAGAAATAGTGCTCCCATCCCAACTTCACTTCTATTTTACATCAGTCTTTTTTTTTTTTTTTTACATAACAGATGTGACATTTAAATATTTCTCTAATGTTATGGTGCACTGAACTTTGTCAAAGAGTCATATGGTTTATGCAAACACAAAGATAATCTTGGAACATTGACATATGTAAGCTTAATTTGAAAAGTCTGTGAAAATAGTGAAAAGCAGATGGAGAGTTGCCATGGAAATTACTAACACTTAGAGGAAGAAAAATATTACTTTAGGGTCATTGTGATTTCTAAAGGAATGGTCAGACTTGCAAAATTTTTTTCCTACCCAATTGTCAGTAATAAAAACAGATATTGGCAGGTAAATATATTTTTTTATTTACCTGTGATTTTATGATTTCATTGCATTCTGAATATATTACAAGTATGCATATTTTTATTGGTAAAGACTTTTTAGTAGTGGAAGAAAACCTAACTATGTACCACTACTTTAAATAAGAAATGTTCTTGTCAATTATTCTGAATGAAAGTACAAGTTGTGACTTATTAGTCTTTGTTCTCCTTATGTAGGTTTTTATCTTGATATAAGATAAAATTAGTATCAGAATTACATAGTCTTTAAAGGAAGATGACTAAAATTTGCTCTTATAGATTAATTGTACCAATTGTAAAAAATAGAGACAAGTCTAGATAGCTCAATAAAAGTAATTAAAAAACCTTTTAGGCCAGATTCTTTATTAGAAATTATAATTGGTAGACACTGCTCTTTACCATAGCTTAATCGTAGAGAAAGTTAAAAAATCTCAGTAGGAAGTCATTTGCACTGCTCATTTTGTACCAGCAATTATTTATCACCTGATTGTTTTATATATTCATTTCCATGACCTTTGGAAAAGTCAATAACTAAATTCTACTTCTTTCTCTTTTCTTCTGGGGCAATTTCAGTTGCTGTAGTTCTCATGGAATAGACTAATCAAAAGTGGGAAAGAATTAACGTTGGGGCCGGGGGTTTTGGAATACTGACATAACATTTGGTAAAATGTGAAGTTGAATTAATGCTGTTTTTGATGTTAAAAATGAAATATCAAGAATAAAGGGATAAATATCTAGGATTCCAGCCTGTAGGAATTCATAAAAACTTGGTTCTTTGCAAAACACTAAAATTACACAATAAGATTCAATAGGAATTTAAAATGAGGATGCTGGGATCAAACAATGCAGATGGATTAGCATTTAAGTTGTTTTTTCCTTTGTTCTTTCTTTCCTTTCCTTTTTTTTCTTTTTTTTTTTTTTTAAAGATTTGGATGGCAAATTGTCTTTCTGCAATTGTATTATGGCTGCCATTGCAATTAAGAAATGGAAAATACATTTCTGAAATCCAACAAAGTCTGATCTTATCAGCATCAGAACCATGTATGGAAGGAGAAAACAGAACTCACACTTAAGAGGATGGCCAAATAGAAAGACCAGCCGAGTGGAAAAAGTCCTCCTAAGTGGAGCAGTTGAACCTTGGGAATATATCAGCCTTAGAAAATTGCAGCTGGAGACATCTGTCATTTGTGAGTGTGAAATGGTTTAGTTGGCCTCATACCTGAGCTAGGGGTGCTTGAGATCCCGCATTTGTTTTGGGCAAAGAGAAATCGGTGTTTCTCTCTTGCGAAATGCTTTGGATGTTTGAGGAAAAATACATGTTTATTGAAGTATAACAAATATACAGAAAAGTGTTCAGACCACAGGGCATAGTTTTATCGATTTCCACAAAGGAAATTACCAATACCCTGAAAAATAAATACACTATTATTAGAAGCCCAAAGTCCATTCTAGTATAACCATCCAGTCTTTACGGCCCCAAATGTAACCACCACCTTGACTTTTTTTTTTTTTTTTTAAGATGGAGTTTTGCTCTGCTGCCCAGGCTGGCATGCAATGATGTGATCTCGGCTTACTGCAACCTCCACCTCCTGGGTTCAAGCAATTCTCCTGCCTCAGCCTCCTGAGTAGCTGGGATTACAGGTGTGCTCTACCATGCCCGGCTAACCTTGTATTTTTAGTAGAGACGGGTTTTCACCATGTTGGTCAGGCTGGTCTCAAACTCCGGACCTCAGATGATCCGCCCGCCTCAGCCTCCCAAAGTGCTGGGATTACAAGCGTAAGCCACCATGCCCAGCCCACCTTGACTTCTAAACTGTGGAATAGTTTTGCCTGATTCTGGAATTTATATAAATGTAACCAAAGAGGATGTACTTTTTGGGTCTGTCTCTGTTAGCTGGATATTATGTTTGTAAGATTTATTCCTGATGTTGCACGTAGCAAATCTGTGTCATCCTCGGTGCTCTATAGTACTAACTATTCTGTTGTATGAAAAGTCCACAATTTTTTCACTAATATCAACAGTGTTTCTATAAACATTCTTACATATGTTTTTTAGGGAGGATAGATACACATTTGTGTGTGTGTGTGTGTGTGTGTGTGTGTGTGTATACATACCAAGGAGTGAAACTGCTGGAGCATATGGTAATCATCTCTAGTGGAAACTGCTGAATAATTTTTCCCAAGAAGTTTTATGTGAATTTCACTTGCTTTTCATCCTTGTCAACTCTTGGTACTGTCATTTTTATTTTTACCCTTAATGGGAGATGGTCATGGTGTCTCATTCTTGTTTCAACTGAAGAAGCTGAGTGCCTTTAGATATGTTTATGGACCCTTTGGATATCCTCTTTTGCAAAGTGTCTATTCAAGTTTCTTGCCCAGTTTTTCTATTGGATTGTCTGTATTTTTCTTATTGATTTTAGGAGTTCTCTTGTATTCTGAATCGGAGTCTTTTGTCAGTAAGATGTATGGAAACATCTTCCACTCTGGGGCTTAACTTTTCACTTCTTAGTGATGTCTTTGATGAACAGACATTATTAATTTTAATGTAATATAATTGATCAATTTTTGTTTCTTTTATGGTTAGTCCCTTTTAAATTCTGTTTAATAAATCTTTTTAATAAATTTCATAATATTTTGTTTTATAAATTTTATTAAAATATTATTTTATAATTTATTCTAGAAGTCCTTTTTTTAAAAACAAATTTAATTGATATATAATAATTATACAGTCAGGTGTGGTGGTTCATGCCTGTAATCCCAGCACCTTGGGAGGCTGAGGCAGGCAGATTACTTGGGCCTAGGGGTTCAACATGGTGAAACCCCATCTCTACAAAAAATACAAAAATTAGCCAGGTGTGGTGGCATGTGCCTGTAGTCCTAGCTACTTGGGAGGCTGAGATGGGAGGATTGCTGGAGCCTGGGAGGTCAAGGCTGCAGTGAACCGAGATCATACCACTGCACCACAGCCTGGGCAACAGAGCAAGACCTTGTCTCAACAAAAATAGTTACACAAATTTTTGGGGTACATGTGATATTTTGGTACATGTGATATTTTGATACATGTATACAATGTGTAACAATCAGGGTAATTGGGATATCCATCACTTCAAACATTTATCTTTTCTTTGTGTTGGGAATATTATAATTATCTTCTAACTATTTTGAAATGTACAATAAATTATTCTTAATTGTAATTTCCCTACTGTACTATTGAATGTTAGAACTTATTCCTACTGTTTAACTGCACTTTTGTACCTATTAACTAACTTCTTTTCATGCCCCCTTCTCCCTTCCTTTCTCAGCCCCTGGTAACCAGCATTCTACCCTCTACCACCATGGGATCCACTTTTTTAGCTCCCACTGATGAATGAGAACATGTGACATTTGTCTTTCTGTGCCAAGAAGCTCCGTAGTTTTAGCTTTCACATATTGATAGATCTACAGTATATCTGGAACTGATATTTGCATATGATGTGAGGCAGAAGCTCAAGATCCACATTTTCACCTGTGTTTACCCAACTGATTCATATCCAGTTGACCCAGGAACACTGACTAAAAAGAATATCCTTTTCCTAACTAATCGTGTGTTACTTTTATCATACATCAAGTGGACTCTTTTCTTTTCCACTGACTAATATCTATCCTTTCACCAATTCTCTTAATTACTGCAGCAATATAATAAATCTTGATACCTGAAAGTGAAAGTCTGACTGTTCTTTGTATTACTATGCAAATATTTGAACCAGCTTGTTAAATTCATTAAAAATATATTTAGCTGGGATTTGGACTGGGATTGCATTGAATCTATAGATCAATTTGGGAAAAAATGGTATTTTTACAATATTGAGTCTTCTAATTGATGAATAGAATATCTGTCTCCCAATAATTTTTGTTATTTTTTATTTTATTTATTTTATTTTTTGGGGACAGGGTCTTGCACTGTCACCCAGGCTAGAGTACAGTGGCACAATCATCTCTCACTGGCAATCTTAACCTTCTGGGTTCAATCAATTCTCCTACCTCAGCCTTCCAAGTAGCTAGGACTACAAATGTGTGCCACTAGGCCCGGCTAATTTTTTTGTTTGTTTGTTTTGGAGAGATGGGGTTTCGCCATGTTGCCCAGGCTGTTCTCAAACCCCTGGGCTCTAGCAATCTGCTCACCTTGGCCTCCCAAAGTGCTGGGATTACAGGCACGAGCCCCCATGCCCAGCCGACATTCTGTATTTTTTTGGAGTAGAGATGTTACACTTCACTCATTAGATTTATTTCTGAGTACTTGATGATTTATTCCAGGATAAATTATTTATTTATTCATTTTTGTGATAAAGTGACTTGTATTTAGTAAAATTGTCATGAATGCACTGTCAAGCTCCATATAGCAGTGTGGTTACCCAGTCAATTCTGTAAAGCAGAAAAACTTGGAGTATGTCAGTCGTGTCTTTTCCCAACCTTCTGTTTTCACAACAGAAGCAGAAGAGGAGGGATTGTAGGGTAATCTTTTTTATTTTGAAATTTATTTTTCCATAGGTTATTGGGGTACAAGTTGTATTCGGTTACATGAATAAGTTCTTTAGTAGTGCTTTGTGAGATTTTGGTGCAGCCATCACCTGAGCAGTATACACCGTACCCTATTTGTAGTCTTTTATCTCTCGTCCCGCTCCCACCCTTCCCTTCAAATTCCCAAAGTCCATAGTATGATTCTATGCCTTTGCATCCTCATAGCTTAGCTCCCACATATGAGTGAGAACACACGGTGTTTGATTTTCTATTCCTGAATTACTTCACTTAGAATAATAGTCTCCGGTCTCAACCAGGTCACTGCGAATGTAATAAAAGATGGCTTTTATTACATTGAGGTATGTCCCTTGTATGCCAATTTTGCTGAGAGTTTTAATCATAAAGGAATGTTGGATGTTGTCAAATGCTATTTCTGCATCTTTGAGATAATCATGTGATTTTTGTTTTTAATTCCGTTTATGTGGTGTATCACATTTATTGACTTGCATATGTTAAATCATCCCTGCATCTCTGGTATGAAACCCACTTGATCATGGTGCATTATCTTTTCGATATGTTATTGAATTTAGTTAGCTAGTATTTTGTGAAGGATTTTAGCATCTATGTTAATCAGGGACATCAGTCTGTAGTTTTCTTTTTTGGTTATGTCCTTTCCTGGTTTTGGTATTAGGGTGATGCTGGCTTCATATAATGAAATAGGGAGAGTTCCCTCTTTCTCTATCTTGTGGAATAGTGTCAAAAGGATTGGAACCAATTCTTTGAATGTCTGGTAGAATTCTGCTGTGAATCCGTCTGGTCCCGAACTTTTTTTTGTTGGTAATTTTTAAATTACCATTTCAATCTCGCTGCTTGTTATTGGTCTGTTCAAGGTATCTAATTCTTCCTGATTTAAGGTAGGAGGGTTGTATTTTTCTAGGAATTTATCCACCTCTTCCAGATTTTCTAGTTTATGTGGGTACAGGTGTTCATAGTAGCCTTGAATGATCTTTTGTGTTTCTATGGTATCAGTTGTAATATCTCCTGTTTTGTTTCTTATTGAGGTTATTCAGATTTTCTCTCTTCTTTTCTTGGTTAATCTTGCTAATGGTCTATCAATTTTATCTATCTTTTCAAATAACCAGCTTTTTGTTTCATTTATCTTTTGTATTTTTTTGTTTGAATTTCATTTATTTTTGCTCTGATCTTTGTTATTTCCTTTCTTCTGCTGGGTTTGGATCTGGTTTGTTCTTGTTTCCCTAGTTCCTTGAGGTGCAACCTTAGAGTGTCAGTTTGTGCTCTTTCAGTCTTCTTGATGAAGGCCCTTAGGGCTATGAACCTTCCTTTTAGCACTGCCTTTGCTATATCCCAGAAGTTTTGATAGGTTGTGTCGTTGTCATTCAGTTTGAAGAATTTTTAAATTTCCATCTTGATTTCGTTTTTGACCCAATGATCATTCAGGATCAGATTATTTAATTTTCATGCATTTGCATGGTTTTCAAGGTTCTTTTTAGAGTTGATTTCCAGGTTTATTTCACTGTGGTCTGAGAGAGTGCTTGATATAATTTCAATTTTCTTAACTTTATTGAGGCTCATTTTGTGGCCTATCATATGGTCTATCTTGGAGGAAGTTCCATGTGCTGTTGAATAGAATGTGAATTCTGTAGTTGTTGAAAGAAATGTTCTGTGTATATCTGTTAAGTGCATTTGTTCTAAGGTATAGTTTAAATCCATTGTTTCTTTGTTGACTTTCTGTCCTGATGAGCTGTCTAGTGCTGTCAGTGGTGTATTGAAGTCCCCCACTATTATTGTGTTGCTGTCCATCTCATTTCTTAGGTCTGCTAGTAATTGTTTTATAAATTTGGGAGCTCCAGTGTTAGGTGCATATATGTTTAGGATTGTGATATTTTCTTGTTGGACAAGGCTTTTTACTGTTGTTATATAATGTCTCTTTTTAACCACTGTTGCTTTAAAGTTTTTTTTTTTTTTTTTTTTCCTAATATAAGAATAGCTACCCCTGCTTGCTTTTGGTGTCCATTTTCATGAAATGCCTTTTTCCATCCCTTTACTTTAAGTTTATGTGAGTCCTTATGTGTTAGGTGAGCCTCCTGCAGGCAGCAGATAGTTGCTTGGTGAGTTCTTATCCATTCTGCAGTTCTGTATCTTTTCAACGGAGTGTTTAGGCCATTTACATTCAATATTAGTATTGAGATGTTAGGTACTGTTGCATTCGTTTTACTATTTGTTGCCTGTGTACCTTGGTTTTTTCGATTTTTGCTTTTTAACTTCTATTTTTGTTTTATAGGTCCTGCATGATTTATGCTTTAAAAAGGTTCTGTTTTGATGTGTTTCCAGGATTTGTTTGAAGATTTAGAGTTCCTTTTAACAGTTCTTGTAGTGGTGGCTTGGTAGTGGCAAATTCTCTCAGCATTTGTTGGTCTGAAAATGACTGTATCTTTCCTTTGTATATGATGCTTAGTTTCACTGGATACAAAATTCTTGGCTGATAATTGTTTTGTTTGAGGAGGCTGAAGACAGGGCCTAAATCCCTTCTAGCTTGTAGAGTTTCTGCTGAGAAATCTGCTGTTAATCTGATAGGTTGTCTTTTATAGGTTACCTGGTATTTTTGTCTCACAGCTCTTAAGGTTCTTTCCTTCATCTTAACTTTAGATAACCTGATGACAATGTGCCTAGGCAATGATCTTTTTTTGATGAATTTCCCAGGTGTTCTTTATGCTTCTTGTATTTGGATGTCTAGGTCTCTAGCAAGGCTAGAGAATTTTTCCTCAATTATTCCCCAAAATATGTTTTCCAAACTTTTAGATTTCTTTTCTTCCTCAGGAACACTGTTTATTCTTAGGTTGGGTCATTTAACGTAATCTCAGACTTGTTGGAGGCTTTGTTTATATTTTCTTATTATTTTTTGTCTTTGTAGGATTGGGTTAATTTGAAGACCTTGTCTTTGAGCTCTGAAATTCTTTCTTCTACTTGTTCAATTCTATAGCTGAGACTTTCCAGAGCATTTTGCATTTCTCTAAGTGTGTCCAATGTTTCCTGAAGTTTTGATAGTTTTTTGTTTTTGCTATTTCCTTGAATATTTTTCCCTTCACTTCTATCATTTTTTGGATTTCCGTGCATTGGGCTTCGCCTTTCTCTGGTGCCTCCCTGATTAGCTTAATAACTAACCTCCTAAATTCTTTATCAGGTGAGTTAGGGATTTCTTCTTGGTTTGGATCCATTGCTGGTAAGCTAGTGTGATTTTTTTGGAGGGTTTTGAAGAGCCTTGTTTTGTCATATTACCAGAGTTGATTTTCTGGTTCCTTCTCATTTGGGTAGGCTCTGTCAGAGGGAAGGTCTAGGCTGAAGACTGTTGTTCAGATTCTTTTGTCCCATGGGGTGTTCCCTTGATGTAGTACTCTCCCCCTTTCCTGTGTATATGGCTTCCTGTGAGCTGAGCTGCAGTGATTATTATCTGTCTTCTGGGTCTAGTCACCCAGCAAGTCTACCTGGCTCCAGGCTGGTACTGGGGGTTGTCTGCACAGAGTCATGTGATGTGAACCATCTATGGGTCTCTCAGCTGTGGATACTAGCACCTGTTCTGGTGGAGGTGGGTGGGGAGGAGGGGGGTGGGGAGGATGAAATTGACTCTATGATTCTTTGTGCTGGTTGGCCTCCTGCCAAGAGGTGGCACTTTCCAGAGAGCATCAGCTGTGGTAGTATGGAGAGGAACTGGCGGTAAGGGGGGCCCCAGAACTCCCAGGAGTGTATGCCCTTTGTCTTCAGCTACCAGGGTGGGTAGGGAAGGCCCATCAGGTGGGGGCAGGGCTAGGCGTGTTTGAGCTCAGGCTTTCCCTGGGTGGGTTTTGCTGTAACTGCTGTGGGGAATGGGTGTGAGGTTCTCCAGGTCAATAGACTTGTGTATCTAGGAGGATTATGGCTGCCTCTGCTGAGGTCATGCAGGTTGTCAGGGAAGTGGGGGAAAGCCAGCAGTCACAGGTTTCACCCAGCTCCCGCGCAATCTGACCGGCTGCTCTCAATCCCACCGTGCACCCTAACAGCCCCAAGTCTGTTTCCAGGCAGTGGGAGAGCAGGGCTTAAGAACTTTCCCCAGGCTACTCGCCTCCCAGCTGTGAAAGAAAAAGGTTTTGGTTCTTCCCCCACCTGTGGAGTATGCACACCGGATTTGCATCGTCCCCTAAGTGCTGACCAGGAGGCTTCTCGCCCCTGACCAGGAGGCTGCTCACCTGATTCAAATTGTTACAAAGTTCAGCTGGAGACTTCCTTGTCT